CTCAGTGCACCAGTGTTGTTCTCTGAGGAAGAAATGGAATTTCCCAACACACTGGCAGAACAGATTTTAAGGACTGTAGCAGGGAGACATAAAATTGCTGTAAACTCTTTCCCTGAAGGATTGCTTTGAAGATTGTTCTGTCTTCACTCTTAACTGTCGTCTGTCTTAAAATGTAATCTTTTCAGAAGGCATGTACTGATTTCTTCAGAATCTTGAAATCATATTAATCTCTGCAGTAGACTCATGCAGTCGTTTTTGGCAAGATATCCAGCAACCAAAATCATCAAGGTGTATTGGAAATTGGGGAAAAAATCACAAGTTGTCTAGTTCTTTAATTGATTTTCAGTTGTGCAGAACCCACGCTGTTTTGAAAATTCAAGCCAGTTCTCAGATAGGAAAAATCTATCTCTAACATTATATGTTAGAAAACCCCATTTCAGGCAAGAGGGTGTGAAACTCTGATGCTGTTTCCTGTCTGAGAAAAATTTAACTATTCTTTATTTATAGAAGAAAAACCTCTTTAAAAATGCTTATCCTTTCATTGATCACTAATATCTTTAAAAAGTGCTGTCTGTGTAAATTGCAAAGTGCAGCTGGCTTCAGTAGGTAGCAAGCATGCTGTTGGTGACTTTTTTTATTCCTCTGGTTTCTCCCACAACTGCTATATGGATCTTCACAAGTCTGAACTGCTACTATCAGTACCAATGAAAGACTTATAAATTCAGCATCAGTCCTTACTGAAATATGTTTGGAAATGAGGAAGTACAAAGTTAGTGAAAGATTAGAGTTGTTGGATTTTTAAATTTTCTGTAAAGCTATTAAAACATCAGTTCCACTTGGTTCCATGGTTCAAATGTGAATCAAAACATGGTGAACCAGAATGATTTCTTCACAGGAGTTTTCTCCATTAAGCTGAACTATTCCTTCCGAGGTCAGGGTTTTTATTTTAATCAAGAGGAAACTAAACTCTCTTCATCCAGTCTTCCCTTCTTGGGAGTTTAGTAGATGGATCTGTAGTTCAGTAAGAGTTCTAATCTTTTCTAGAAGACTTTTTAGTATCCTTAGCTTTAAGGTAAAAGTATGTGGCTGAAAAGTTCTTGAAGGTAGCTGTAGCTGTCAGTTTTACTGTGGGCCATATAACTAACATTGTTTACTGCTTCCAGTAACACCAGATTTTCAGGGAGAGCAGGTTTATTTACAGTGCCTAACATAGTGTAAATTTTTGAAAATTATATATTTTTATAATGATATTTTAGTATATGTAGTCTACCTGAAAGATTCAATGCTTGTATTTCTAAAGTATATGGCTTTTTCAGGAGGCCAAATTTTTAAATATCTCTCATGTCCTTTTATTCTATAATGCGTGTATTAAGAAATATTTCACTGGCAACAGTTGATCAACAGTAAGAATCTTAGTGTCTGTGTTGGTTATCCAGGCATCCTTACAGCTTGTAATCTGTGAAGCACTTCAGACAGTGCTGTGTACTTCAGCTTTCCTAGTTCTCTTTCTGGCCAGTGATTGAGACACAACAGGAAAAGGAAGCTTGTCTAAGGATGGCTGATTTCCTTACAGTAGCAGAGAACAGTCTGCTATTAACCCATCTGAAAACCTAAAGTAAAATGGCTAGAAGTACACTGTGATTTTTTTTTTTTAACTTTGATATACAACAAGAAAACAATACCAGTAGATCACTGAGGGGAGAGCAAGAGGCATTTCTTCTGTAAAGCCTTGAATTTGAGGTCTGCTTATTTGTTTAATGCATTGGGAGTAGCCAAAAATGTGCAATTGTACTGCTACTTTGCAAGTGGCAAAGCAGTGTCCAGCAACCTTTGCTTTAAATTCTGGTGCTTGAAACTTTACACCACCTCATCAACCAACTTAGTCGGTTAATGTTTTGTGTAAATAATCTGATGTATGTAAAATTGGAGAAGGATGCTTCCTGTTCGTAACTTTTTATTCATAAAACATTGCATTGAAAACTGCGACCAGGGAGTATGTTTCCCTTTGCCACTTTTTGACACAGAAAGCTCCTGATGCTGGGAAGGAATTTCAGCCGTTCGGTGAAAATCATGCCAGTGTCAAGGATGTCTGTGGAGTTCATGCACCGAAATTAGCTGCTGACAAGAGCCAACATGTTGGATTAGGATTCCAGGGTCTGCAAATCTTGCCAAGTTGCCTGAAGACAAATGAGTACTTGTTTTTTTAAGTACTGTTTGTGTGCAAAACAGAATTTAATTGAAGCGTTGTCTTTCCACAGTTTGTTCTTAATGGCTTTGGCCATATCAACACCTGCTTTGTATCAGTGCTTCAGTTATTTGGAGCTGAATTGAAGAGAGGAGTACAGCCTATTTGAGGGTCTTTAAATTCATGAAGTGATTTTTCTTTTTTACACTGTGGATAAATGTCTCTGGGCTTATTCAGTATCATTTTTAAAATCCCTGGGCTCTACGCTGGTTTGCCCCTAGACATTTTGAAGTGTACCCCCATTGATGGAACACATGGCTAGGGTAATGTCAGACTTAAAATGGGAATGTTTTCTGCTTAATTTTATTTAGCACGTCTTCTGTGGACCTGCAGTGACTTCATGGCTAAAGATTTAGGTTATGGTTTAAAAAAAGTCTTGTCAGCAGAAGCGGCTGGGTGTGAGCCTGCCTCTAAAGCCTCCGAGGAGAAGTAATTCAGTGACCTCACAGAGGTTTGATAAATTGTTGAGATTTCACTGGTTGCATTTGGAACAACTTCACGAACACTACAATGGAAACAAGGTTTTTCATGAAGATGTCAGATAGGAGCTCAGACTTGAATAACTACACTGAGAGAAGGAAATATGAACGTGATCACTTTTATTTCTCTGAAACGAGCACAATTAATTTCCGTTAAGCGAAGTATTGTCAGTATGTTTGACAGTGCAACTACCCTTTTGTTGCTATCAGTGTCACTGCATTTGGACACAGTTTCCCTGTACGTGAAGAGGAAGGTCAGTGTAAGCACTGAAAAAAGTGCAGTGACCAAAGGACCTTCGGTCGCCTCCTGAAAATCTGAATGTTTCTTCCCAAGAGGTCTTCAATTTTGGTGACCTCATACAGTGCCATGTGCATAGACCTGTACTTCAGTCCACCGAGGTTGATGTGGCGTTTGACTGATGTGTAGAACTGCCTTGGTTTTTGTCTCCTTGTTCCACCCTTCCCTCTTCCTTCCCCTTACCGCCTATGGGTTATCATGCAGCTTGAGCATTGTTCAACCATTGGAAGAGGGGGTTCTGTCTCCTCTTCTGAGGTGGCTTTTCTGAGTGACTTTCAGTATATTTTTTTCTTAAGCCTTAAATTTTATTAAATAAAACTTGATGTTTTCTACTCCTGGAGTTTGATTTCTAAAATCTGTTGCTTTCATTTACTAGTATTTCACTCTCTAAGGGTTAGACTGGCTACCAAGACTGCAGTTTGTGGAAAACTCAGAAATGGTAAAGGTCCAGTGGTGTTCATTTGTATATTTTGCTAAAACTAATTCCTGATTTTATTTTTGTTTGCAGTCTGGGCTGCTGAATAATAGATAACACTGATGATTTTCTCTCCATTGCTAATGGAAGGCCATGAACTAGTGAAGAGCTGCAGAAGGGTTTAGAGAAACTATTAAATCTCCTGACATCCAGAAAGTTAAATCTGCTGTTTTTCTTTTCTCCTCTATGGTCAAAACCTGCTTATGTTACTCACCGAGTGACTTGTCTGGGGTGGTTTTATGAAATTCCCTTTCTTAAGAGTATTCCTGAGAGTGATATTTGGTGATGAGTGTAGTAGGCCAAGTAGTGTTACTAAGTTTTGCAGGTGGGAAGACTTCTGCAGGAACAAAGTTGAAATGTTTGTTTGCAGACACAGACCAGTTGTACTCAAATTGTTTGAAAATTGTTGGGCATTATTGACTTCGAAATATACCCTGTTTTGTAACAGTTTTCTGAAGATCAGTACTTGTTTATTTTTTTCACAATAACTTTTCTGCTTGCTAAAAAAAAAAAAAGGTTGTTTTTCCCTAGCATTCTACCACTACAGGGGTTTGGACATTGTAACTCTGCAACATTCCATTACTTCAAACAGTTCCCATAAGAACAAGTTGTGTAATAGAATCTGTTACCTTTTCATCTAATCACCAATTTTAAATATGAAAGGTTTCTGTAGAAATGTTTAGACACATTTGCTTTACTGCAGTTTTTCATTACCTGAAGTTAAACCCACGTTCTCTTACTGGTGATAATGGAATGCCAGCTGCCTCCAAATCTTCACCCATTCCCACTTGCAATTTCTAATTAGCTTTAATTTTGTGTCTTGTGTAAGCACTGTATGTTCACTGACTGCAGTTTCTTGTAACCTTTGCTTCTGCTGAGTCTCATTCCAGGTTACTACATGTTACAATACAGCTCTGAACTCAGGACAAGACTGCAGCCTCAATTATTTAGGAATATAGCTTGTGACACTAGCAGGGTAAAATTTTAGAGATGAGCTTTAAAATTGGAAATTGAAGGGAGAGTTAGTTTAAGGATAGTTTTGTGTTTGTTTTAACATGGTCCCTTAACAGCTGGGCTCACAGTGTGATTCATGGTGTGCAGAGGTTCAGTTGGTGCCTGTTGGCCCTTTGCATTGTTTAGGCTACAGATCTAATCCACCTCATTTCAGGTTATGTGATATAAGCTTGAGATTTTTATGTAATTATTTTCAAGTCCCATTGATGCAATTTTTCTTGTGTGTATCCTAATGGGACAAAACCAAGCAGCTTAAAAATGTGTAACAGAAGTGGTAATTGCCTAATGCTTCTTCTCTGATGTTTTCTGAGATCACTTGCTTTGACAGGCCTTATTCCTACTGCTGTGGCTTAGTAGCTCAGCAAAGAGCTGCAGTGATGCAAGTATCAGGAGGCCAAATAGATGGGCAAATCAGGTTTACGTACAGCTTTAAAAGGTGTTTTGTTTGCCCCAGCAGCAGTGTTGGGTTGCCACGTGGAAGAAGGGACGCTATTGAGGTGTCTCTCCTCTCAAAACCTGTAATGTTGTGACAGCTGCCTTGACCACATCTGCATTGCTGTGACTGCAGAGTTGTTTCAGAGTTTCTTTCATCTTGTCCTCCTCTATTTCTTGTCTCAGATCACCTGAAAGGGAGAAGAAATTCTGACTTTTTGTGACATGCAATGGTATAGTGGCTCCCAACAACTGTAGTAAAATAAATTTGGAGTACTTGCTGTTTAAAATGAGCTGCTTTAATTCAAATATTTTTTCTTCAGTAGATACCCTTAGAGCCATTGGAAGTATTGAATAGCTTAAGATTTTTTTTCTCCTGTTTGACTTCCAAGAACTGATTGACAGAAGAAAAACACTTTGAAACTATGATACAGGACAATTTCCAGCATTTTTATGCCTGTATGCTTTTTGTTAACATTCCATATTAGTAAGAATGAACTCTAAGTGTTGCAGTTAGTCTATAAAATTCTAGGTATATACACCTCTGGAAAGAAAGTCTTATAGATCACATGTGTTATGTCAGTACTCCATTGTAGCACTGAAGAATGCAAGTGCTTTATCCCTATTCCAATATCTCAGTGGCTACAGGGAAAAAATAGAGTATACTGCAAAATCCAGCTTGTCTGTCAGTATAGGGTGGCTCCACAGTTTGAAAGGCAGATCAATCCTTGCCTAAGCACAATCATTATTTTCAGTTCACATAATTTTTTTATTAGGATGTGAGAAACTGCCACAAGATGTTTGGACTCCTGGTTTCAAGGTGGTTGTTTTCGTTTAGGGCCGCACACCTGGGATAGTCTGATCTTGCTTGAAGCCATTTTTAAGTCTTCCCTAACCCTGGAGTGATACTGAAATCATCGTATCCTTCACATGCTTCACAAAAAGTTACTGTGCAAAGGCAGCATTGATAGAATTGCTCTTTTAACTCAGTTTCTGGTTTGCTCACAGCATAGGCAGAGCAGATGAATGCCTGCCTATGGACACGATACAGACTATTTCTTTGAACACAAAAATGCTGTGGTACACACAAGGCCTGGGCCTGCCAGGCATTTTTGCATGGTGAAGTTGGACAAAGATGCCTTTATGCCAAGGCTCTAATTTTGCTATTTCAGGACTTGATTATGCCACTGGCTTACTGGAATAAAGCCTTTCTTTTTTTTTCTATTTTATTCAACTGAGGGTTTAATCAACTTTTCATAAAGAAAGTTATTTGACTATGATGTTTGCTGATCAATAAAGAATGAACCTATTTAATATCCTTTACTCGTTCACTGGAGCATCACAAGCAGCACATTTTGGTAAGAGAAAACGCTTGTCTTTGTTACCAATATCTATCATTTCATCACAGACAATTTAAAATGAGGTTACCTGAATTAAGAAGCCTGCACAAAAGACCAATTGAATTGTATTTCACCTCGGGGCTTGTATTATCATCTTGTAGAAGTTTGTGTAAACTTTGAACTAGCTGTGATTCCTTAAAAGATTCTTCAAGGGTTTCTGAAAAATAAGTAAACAAATGTCTGAGGTGTTGCCTGTAAAGAAACTGGAAAGTGAACATGCTTGCTTTCAAAAAATTCCTGACTGGCTTCATTTCAAACTGTCTATTCAGGAATGTCTTGGGCAACTGTCTTCTCTCCTGGAGAATTTCTGTTTTGTTTTCTGCACAGTATTTCTTCACTGGCCTCTTTCTTGAAGACAGAACTATATCCTCGTAATGGATTAAAATTTGTGATGGTCAGTACTAAAAGTATTGATTCACATTAGTTGCCCAATTGAGTTTGAGAGTCTTAATGGCAGACAAGCAGTTAAATGGGCTGTTTACAGTCTTACCAGTTGGTATAGGAAATTCCAAATTTCAAGTTGACCTTTTCTTTTCAATGTACCTTTTGATGTGGACCCCTGGTGGCCTAGTGGTTAGCATGCGGCACTCTCACCGCTGCGACCCAGGTTCGATTCCTGGTCCCCCGGGCAGATGGAGCTCGTTAGCCCTGTGAGGCCATCCATCTATGAGAAGGTCACTCTAAACAAACCTACGTCCTGAGGACCTCACTGCCATTGTCCAAGCTTGCTTGGCCCCGGCAGATGAACCTTAGGATTAAAGGGTGGGCTCAGTTCAGCGCAGGCTGTGTCTCACCTAAAAAATCCATTGCGCAGGCTGGAAAGGTAAAAGACCTTTCCCAAAATCTTCGTTCGCGAAGACTGGCCATTATTACCTTTTGATGTATGTAGATTTCTGTGGTGTCTGTCTCTTGTTGTAATAAATTGAGACCCATTTTCAAGTTATACTGGACAAATCTGAAAAAATTTTTACGTAACTCTCTGAAAATTACCTCAGGAAAAGTAGCTAGAACTTCAGGGTTTTCTCATTGCTTCATTTGCAGCTTCTGCAATACCTCTTTGTTTATGCAACTGCTTTATTCTTTCCTCATCTGTCTTCTGAAGATTATTTCCTCCATTTAGAGTTTTCAGTAACCATCCAAGTGTATAACTTGTCCTTCATTTAGACTTTCTAATTTTTTTATCTTCATCACCTTTACTTTCCCTATACTTTGTTTTGGGTTGGGGTTTTTTTGTGTAGGTTTCTAGCACCATACCACGCTACTCAACAGACTGCCTGTCCACACAACCTGATAATTTGACTTTCTCCTAAACAAAAAAATCTTCAGGTAAGTCTCAAAGCCTATTGCTTTTGTGATCTGGATGGCTGACAACCTTCATTTCATGCTGAAGAGCTAAATCTAGACAAGAAGGATGCTTTTTCACATGTGTTATGTAGAATTAACAGCATGACAGTTTCTTAATAATTGAGGATGTTGCACAGGTATCTACTTTTAGGAGAACAATACCTAAATCGATTGCAGATGCTACTGCCAAGGCATTCAGAGCCTCATTCTGTGTGGCAGCATCTTCACTTGTTGTCATGGAAACCAGATGCTTCACTCCTTGTGCCTCCTGGATGGCTTTGACCACTTCCTGTTAAAGCAATGGTAAACCACGTGGAAATCTGACTTATGAATAAAGTAGAACAGAAAAAGAAATGAGATTGCATCTATTCAGCTTCTGAATAGATGGAAATTATTTGCCTGCTGTAGTGCAAACTGACAATATTTGGAGATTAGAGACAACATTGCTTTCAGCATTGATCTTACGTCTCTGCTTAGGGCTGGTCTAATTTACGTGGAATATCAATACTTAGAATTAAGTATGAATGCATATCTGTAAGATAAATATACATTTTGTCTTGAGCTTTACTTTGTCCTTATTCCACTCTTTCGTTTCAAGGCTTCAAATTGGCAAAGGCTAATTTTACTTTATCAAAGCCTATGCAAATAGTATCTGCTTTTTTAATCATTACCTCCAAGTAAAGCATGGTTGGGATGCCTGCACGTAACAGCATGACTTACAAGAAACAGAAGCCTATTCTAAAATGCCAGCAGATACAAGTCATGCCAGGTTAATCCACTACTAGGTGGATAAGTGGGCACTTCAGAGCTTCTAGAGGACTGACGTGTAGGACAGGTCTGGGTTATCTTTGCCATTTTAATTTGAAATTTGAATCATATTTATGGCAATGGAAAAGCTTTATGTACTTGTCATTTTTCAAGCCTTATTCAAGCAGGGCAAAAGTTGACAAGTGGCAGTAGGTAACCACACTGTTTGTTTCTGTGGGGTGTCTGTGGCTATGGGGGGCACAGGTTTCCCACTTGCTTCCCCCGTACTGGTGTTGAGGCAGACCAGAGAGGTTTTTACTGTGACCTTCCCTGTTTTTAATTGTAAAGCTATATGTGTAAGCTTTAAAAGTATTTGAGAAGGATAAAGTAGAAAGGTATCAGACCAATAGTTCTCTTACTTGGGATCTGTTGTGATGCAAGATTGATGCCAGCAGCCGATTTGCTTCCCCACGGACGCCGGTGTGGTTGTTCACATCACACCACTGCACAAGTCTGTTGAGCAGCGTGGGGTCTTGGCCCAAGATTTCAGCTGCATCAGCTGAGGAGAAAAGCCATCACCAAGAGGCATTCAAAATCAGACTTCTCAGTCTGTGTCATAGAAACGTGAATGCAGAAGTAACTAGGGCCGCAGGCCTGGGCTTTTGAAGGATCTTGGAAATCTTTACCAGAGGAATGCCAAAGGAATCTAGGAATCTTTGCCAAAGGAATCTTGGAGGTGAAGGACAAAATAGGCTGTTCCAATAGACCTATCATTTTAAAGAGGCTGCTGAAGCAGGGTTTAGAATGAGCAGCTTTGTATCTTTGAAAGCAAATATTCTGTTGCTATACTGAAATTTCTTTGTGAGGAATATCCCTTTCCCATTTGATTTCTTGCACTGTGAGCCCTGCACAAGTGTAATCATGGGCTCTTCAGAGCCTGTTCTTGCTGTTTTGGTGATAATTACCATTGGTGATGTGGGAAGCCAAGCCTTAGTACAGAATTGCAGCAGTAATTGGATGACCTGAGTCTTAAGAATGTGTGCTGAACTGTGTATAAGGCATCATCAAAACTTCCCCTTGAGTGTGGAAGAGCCTTTTAATTTGCATTCCCCTGTGTTTCAAGAACCCTATCTCAAGACCTGCTAGAAGTATTAATCTGTGTGGCTGACATTTGAAAAAAATCTCACTAGGTAACTTTTCCTAAGAAGTGGAACTCTAATTATATGCTGGGGTTTAGGGCTGGTAACCACTAAGGGAGACTACTCTCAAAGTTCTTTGAAGTTCAGCAGCAAAAGGAACTTTACTCATCCTCTCTCAGTACTGTCAGTCTGACATAAGGGTCCATGTGAATCTTACTGCACTTAATTAATGTTTCTTCAAAGTGCTCTGTTTCAAAAGTGACTAAATGGTGGGAGGTGATTTCCTAAGCAGAGGAAAAATGCAGACATAAAGGTGCTGAAGACCGAAATACTCTTTTTTAACCAAATATATTAAGTAAGGGTTCAGCCCTGAGGACATCATGGTAAATAACTGTGGCTGTTTCTGTTCAATACTGAAGACTTTTTGAAATCCTGCATCTTGATTCTACTGGAATTATCTTCTAAGTGAAGGGTACTACGAGACACATAAAATAGCAAAGTGCACAACTTAATCTGCCTTTTGAAGGAATTGAATGCTCACCCATTTGTCTTTGAGCACAAAGAGGTGTTTTGTAAACTGCTGCTTCTATGTGTTGCAGTTGAACTGAGGATATAAATGCACAGCACTTCTGGTTGGGCACCAGATGTAGCAACTGAGAGGCAGAAGTAGTCACAGGACAGACACTTTTGATGTAGAATTACTCTAATGGCAAGAATATATTGTGATTATAAGATTTAATTCAACTTTAGGAGTCTCATGTAGTTATCTGTAATTAAAGGTTTTTCTTGTTGTCTTATTTTTGGTTATCTTGAGTCTTGTCCCATGCCCACTGCTCACCCCTTGATGACAGAGAACCACAGCAGTTGAGCCTGAAATGTACATTGTGTACTGTGAAAAAGGAAAGATATGGTGAAGCTCTTCATTGAAATGTACATTCCCTAAGAAGGGCTATAAAGGATCTGTGAGCTTTTTGCAATATTTTTCTGATTTTCTGGTCTTAAAATAGTTTCAGGCCTGAAAGAAAGTAGCAAGTGAGATCCCCGGTCCTTTGGATGCTGATTCAGAGAGGGAAAAATGTGGGGAAAAGTCTGTGTTGTTTTAAGATACTGAGAAATTTGTCTCTTGGACCTTTGCTGATGCAAAGATTTGAGGAAGAACCAACATTAGCATCTGTAACAGAAGGGATGGGTTTGGGCGATAGGGGCATAGGGGCATTACCCTGCTCCTGTCCCTTTCTCTGTCTGTTGCATTTGTTTTGAGATATTCTGGAAAGGATCAAATAGAATGTGTACCAGAAGGTCTGTGTCAATAAACTATGTGATTACTCCACATATTTTGCAGGATATGTAAGTCAACCCATACTCTTTGTTTTGGCAGAGGCAAATGGGGAAGTACAGACACTTCCTTTTTGTATTTTTCCAGTATACTGTGGAACAATCCACAGGTGAAAATCCCACAAGGGATTTGGGAGCTTATAGTCTGGTTGACAGGTTTTTTGAGTGAAGGGTTTCTTGTCATTGCAAAGCCACCTGCATGTTATCTCCTGTAACATAAGGCTTTTGTTTCTAGGTCAGATGTTACTTGTTAGTCTGAGATCGTGGTAATCCAGTTTAGTACAAAAAGCTGAAAGAGGTAACAGGGTGGTGATTAGAACCAGTCTAAGAGATTTGTTCAAAGGCAGGTTCTTGACCCAGTTTGGTAGGGACTTCCTGATGTCTACCACCAACAGAGCTCTTTGAGATAAAATCCAATTAGTTATTCCTAACAGGAAGACCTTTTAACTTGCAAAAAACCCAAAATTTGAATAAATTGTGTGTGATTGAAATTTCAGTTGAGCTGAAAGTCCTTTGGCTATTGAAGTGCAGAAATTATTCTGCTCCTCTGAAGCAAAATGGTGAAAGAACCAGGAGTTAATGTTAACATCTCTCTAGAGTAATGAAGCTGACAGATCTGCCTGCAGTTAGGAAGAAACCTACCTCTTCTAGTCTGTAGGCCTCAACATGCCTGCTGACAGTCACAGTAATGAATTCATACTAGATAAGGCAATTAACTAATTTAGTGTGGACTTCGTAGTAGATGTGGGTTCGTAAGAGTTTCAGGCTGAGTTAATTAAGGGCAATGTTAGCTCATGGGTAAACAGAATAGAAAGTAATTAAAGGTGGGGGAATTGTGTGCTCATAGGCAGGAATGGGTAAACACTGAATAATGTCCTAGATCTTTTTTCTGCTTTGCACTTTGATAACTATATTGTTTCAGAAGTAGTACCTCATGCCAAATTCCAGCTTCTCACTATGGCTGGCAAGCAGAATTCAAAAAACCCCCTAATTTAGTGTTTGATAAGTTAGATTTGTGTTATTATGATGTTTCAATTTTAAAAGCTAAATGCTCTCCCCTGTCACAATTCAGATAGGATTTCAGAGAAATTACCTGTTAATGACTTCTTCAAAGCCTGAGAGGAAGGTGATGCTGTTTCTATATGTCTCGCAATGTCCATTTCCTACCATGGTGAAATGAGTGAAAGCAGCTTTTCAGTGGACTGGAATCATTGCAAATTAATATGAGAGATAGATCTAAATTTTATAAGGTGCATATTAATTTGATAAAGGATGCAGTCAAAGTGTCTGCAGTGGTGCAGATGAGTGCAGCGTGGAATGTAGGAGAGTGAGGGTTTTTTCCTCTTGAATATAATTAATGAATTGGTGTCTGTAATTGCTCTGTGTCAGTTGACAGTTCCCATCACAAAATGGTCATAACTGTTCTGGTTTGAACCTATCCCTTGTTATTCCTGTGTATCAAGGGACCTGTACTGGTTAGTGCTCTAGAGCAGCTGCTCTGGTGATATGAAAGGCAATACCAAACCCTACAACACTCATTTTTGTGTTCTACTCTGGTAAGAAGCTAAGTAAGCCTAAGGATAAATTAAGATGTAGTAGATCTTAATGTAATTCTGACATTGTGCATGTTCCTCAAAGATGTACCTTTGCGTATGCATCTCTTTGTAAAACTGAATGAAGTGCAAGTAGGTAGTCCAGTATTTCAACATGCAAAATAAATTTAACATGTGAACCACACCAGCAAGATAAACCTAGCAGCATGTGTATATAAAAACTTCATGATGGCTAGAAGCTCATTTCTTCTGCCTCTCTCCATCCTAGCCCCCTTTGTTCCTTTTATATTCTCCATTTCTTTATTGATTTTTCTCCCCTGTGATTTGACAGTGTAAAGTATTAGCCTTACTCTTTTCTGTCATGCTCATGCCTTGCTCTATATCTGTGAAGGAAAACATCTTCATTTAAGGCCTTTGCCCATTCTCCAGAGTGCTGCAAATTCTTCCCTTTGGTTTGTTTCTCATCTGCCTTTGAGGCTGACTGGGTCAGTGTGGAAAGCTTGCAGCCACTGGCAATCAGCTCTGTTGGAACCTCTCCAGATTGATTGGAATTAGGTTAGCAGGACACTTAGCCCGTGGTCTCGCACATCCATTGTGTTGCAGGGCTAGGGGAGGAGGGGGGGTTAGTTGATCTCAGTAAACACTAGCAGTTCCCTACCTTGACCATCTGCTAACATCCGTAATGTTCCAAGAAGTTTAAACTGCACAGGAGGACTCTCTGATCTTAGAAGTGCCTCAATCCGTTCTGCAACACCTTCCTCCAGCATTTGAACCTTGCTAACAACTAGAAAATAGAAAAGAGATGTTGATGTGAAGCTTAGTAACTACACAGGCATCTGAAAATATAGATATGACATAACTGTTCTGAATTTTATACTGCATTATGCTTCTAGCAAAAGGTCCAACTTGTTAGAGAGCTCAGAAATTAAGTCAGGACTTCAGGCTTCTCTTTTGAGATAAAACCTTTCTAGGAACTGCTGTTAGGTTATTTTGGTTGCTTTTGATCTTAGCCCTGCCTGGAGCCAAGTACATAAGAGGATAAACACAGCATTGTCATTTCTTTCTTCTTCTAGTTGTAATAGATGATCCATCCATTCGCCCACTCACATGAGGAAGCCTGTTCTGTGCTTACTCAACTGAAGTGGGTGGCAGAAGGGATTTACACAGCCATATTTCTAGAAAATGGATTTTCCTTTTGTATTGGAATTCACTGTTCCCCTGTTGTTCATGCCTTTGTTTCTGTGCTCCTTATTTTTTGTGTCTTTGCACCAGTGGTTGGTGCAATAATCCCTGGGAATAATCAGAAGCTTGTCTGGAAGGAGTCCTAATACTGCTTAACTGTGCTACCAAAAGCTGCTTCCTCCAGAGCAATTTTCTTCCCATCTTTTGCATACTTTTTTTGTGGGGTGGTGAGGAGGACAGGACAGTGAAATTAGGGAGATAACTATAACATCCTTTTGTCCTTTTATTGGACAAATTGAGAAGCAGACCCTATTAAGTAACTTGCTCTTAATGTTCTTGTTTTTCAGTGGCATAGACTGACTCCTTTCACTAGATCATAACTTTTTTCAATTTTTTTATAAGCATCTGTTCTCTTTTAAGATCAATACTTAAATTAAAGACTTCTTTGTGTCTATCTGCAAGTGTTAGGGAATGTCTTACACATATTACAGGTAAAAACACAGATATTTTTGTGAATTGATGAAGAAAAGTATAGTCTGTAGGTGGAATAGTGTTTTAAGTGCCTACACACTTGGAAAGATCTAAAATGGGTTGTAATAGACTTGAACAGATAATTAAAATAGACACTGTATTGATATATTGATATTTTATAATTCAGAGTTGAGCTTCTTAAAGCGCAACTTCAAAGAACATTAAGATTTACTAGTTCTGTGTGTAGCAGCCAGTGATATAGCGGTGAACTTGTAGGTTGCAACTATATTTTCTGAAGTTTTAGATCCTCTAATCTTTGCAGAATCAGCTGTGTTTATTGCTTCCTTAAGGCACTCCCAAGGAATGCCTGGGCTTGGCATTGCAAAAAGTTGGCCTTCGGTATTTGTTGAGGAACAGATTCTGCTGTGAGCTAGAAAGTGATCCTCTCTGCTTGTTGTCGAGGGAAAATACATCAAAATTGCTCTCTTTCAAATGAGTTGAATTGATGTCTTTGCTGCTTGTAACAAATCCTATTGTACATTTTGCAGGAATGAGGTCAGTAAGAGGTAAGCATGGGACATAGCTAGGCTTAGAGAAAAAAAAATCCCCTTTTTCATTCTAATAATGATAGTTATATTTTTCCTACTAATTTATTCTCCTAATTTCAGCTGTAGGGCTCTCCATGATTTGTCCCAATTCTGTGATTTTTCTCCTCATAGCTCTGTGTTAGATTGTAACTGCTGTAACCTTTGCAGCACTGCATACTTTATTAACACCAAAAAGCAATCTGCACAGGCCTTTGCCTGCTGATGTGAGTGCTGGTAGAACATCTCTTCAAAGAGAAATAAAATAAACATGGGCTTACAGTGTCAAATACATTTATTAAAATACTGAGTGGACTGATGTGGTTGGCTAGTCTGATAATACTATGAGCCAAACTAAATAAATTTTTTGAGAGCCTATTAAAAGTTGAAAGAAATAAGTGGAGTTCTGAGGAGAGCTATCTGTAAGAAAAAAAATCAGTTTTTCAGGCATTAAAAGGAAGTAGTGGAGGCGAAGCATCAACAAGGATGTTCTGGAGCTCTTAGTTGTTTGAAGTAATGATTATGTGTAAAACTGTTAAACCAAGCATGCTGGCTAGCTTACATAATAAAAGAGGCAAACAACTTCAAGTTATTTTATTTTCAGAAAAAAGCATCAGTGTTATGCTCTGGAGCAATGTCTATCAGTGTAAGGGCTGCATTGCAGGGTACTGTTAAGTCTCTAGCAGAACATTTTTGGCCTGAATGGTACTTCACATGGAAGCATTAAATTTGAGATGAGAAGCAGCATAATATTCTGATTTGTATTTAACAAAAGATCACAAAGTGGAATCCTAGAATGGTTTGGGTGGGAAGGGACCTTCAAAGGTCAGCAGGGACATCTTGGACTAAGTCAGGTTGCTCAGAGCCCCATTCAGCCTGACCTTGAATGTTTCCAGGGATGGGACATGCACTACTTCTCTGGGCAACCTGTTCCAGTGTTTTACCACCCTCATCATAAAAAATATCTGCCTTATCTAAGTCAAAATTGACCCTCTTGTAGTTTGTCCTATTTGCAACATGGTCTACTAAAGTCTGTCCCTATCTCTTGTACGTCTCCCTTAAGTACTGTAGCTTTTGGGTTGACAGGCCAGATTTGCAATGAATATTGGCTTTCTAGAAGAGCAGATTTATGATATCCCTACCAGCTATGATGTGATGGCTGCACCCTATACTCTGTATTTTAAGCTAGAAACCTTATTCTGAATTTTCGTCTTGAGCAGCTGTATGCTGTTAGTATGAAACTATTTCAGCAGCTGGCAATGAGATCACACTTCATTATATTTAGACCCTTTATGTAGATGAGGAATTCTTGATGAATTATTCAAACATGTTTCTGCAGGGGGGGGAAAGTCTGTTGCCCCTCAAAATGCAAGGAACTGGAATTGGTGACTTGGACAGAGCTGCACAGGTCTCCATTAGCTGACCCATCTTTACAGAGAATCACAGTAAGTCAATTGTCTTCCAACTGTGTACCTGGTATAGCAAGGTTTTGAAGTGCACTGAGTGCAGCGTGTTGAACGGAGGTGTCCCCGCTCTGTACATGCTTCTCCAGCAGATCCAGGAGCTGATGGATGACTCCCAGCTGTACCATCCGTAAACAGTTGCCATCTGAAGAAAGAGGCAAAGCCAAGCAGGTGAGAGAGGTAAAAAACTCAACGATAGAAGTAAATGATGCAAACTGAGAACTCGGGGAGCCTTTGCCTTGACTGTTTTCATCTCTGGATAAGATCGAGACTAAAGCTTTTGCATTGTTTTTTGCAACCTTCAACTCTTGAGATGAGTGGGCATCAGCTACCCATGAACTGATGCTGAGGCACCTTCTGGTAATGCTTAGCTTGAGAGAGCTTTAGGGACAATCACTGTCAAATTCAAAACCATAGATTCTTCAGTCTTTTTGTATTTTCTCAGTACTGCTGTATTTCCCACTATATTTGTGGTGGAATACCAGTGGCATTTTCCACTTCTCTCCGGGATAGCTTTAATACTCCAATTTTGCTATTCTGCTGGTTTAAGAGACTATTGTGAGACCAGGGATCTTAACCACCAATGGTAAGTCTGATTACTAGTTCTGTGCTGCTGTTGCTCCTTGTTTTCTATGAAATAATTTGTCATTAACTGCTCATTGAAAGCATCAGACCTAGACCTGTTTTGAGAAACCCACTTTCTGAAATGAGAAGTCTGTTTATGTTGCACTCATATGAAGCCTGGAAAATACAAGTTCACTTAGAGAGATCTGATTTGTTTAATCCTGGTGAAAGAGCAGATTTGTATATCCAAAACCTACCACTTTGCCCAGCAATGCTTTGCAGTATTTTGTCAGTGCATGTCTGTCTGTCTCCTTCTGTCTTTGAGAAGTTGCTCTGTACAGTGACAGCCCTTTTGTTATCAGAAACTGCTTAGGTCACCTTTTTAGGAGATGGGAAAGTGTGTTCTCCTAAACAGCAAAAAGGAAACCCTGTATACAGCTGTACCCTTTCTGAAGGAAGTGTTTTGAAGATGCCATTTGGCAAATGATTTTCTGTATTTTACTTTATGCAGTCTATTATACACTTCAAGAGAAGTATATGCCTGACACCCATCACAATTTCCGTTTTGCTGTGCTGTTACCTTGTGACTGCTGTCTGTTAACATGTGGCAAAACACAGCGAACACTATGTAGAAAGATCACATCTTCACCTGGAGTGAATGGTTATCCATGGAATTATACAAACTTCATGCAAGTATATAATCTGACCAAAAATAGCTTTAATGCTTTTTGTGGTTCTAACTGCATGCCTGAGATGTACAGCCTTCTAATCTTTGTATATATAGCATGTAAAAACAACTGTAGTAATTTTAACATCTTTGCTGGTTTGGATGTTATTTCTACCTTGTAGTAGTAGACACTCCTCTGTGTTGTCTTTTGAACCAGTGCCTACTGTTCCTTTCATTTATTAACATTTCGATAAGTAGTCTATTTCCCCCCCCATTACTATATCCGTTAAATAAGAATTTGTCAAATGCTTATAAAGTTTAAGTGGATATTTTCATGAGAAAGCTGACAGTCTGTGAAATAGTTGGAATTCTACTTGTGCAAAAATCTTTTGATACCATTTTATGCATACATTCTTTAAAGCTGGTGGTTTTGCTTGTGATTCTTCAAATATTCTCTTACCTGGTCCTGATCTTTGGAGATCAGATATATGAGGAAAACTGCCCAATTGTCTTTAGGAACCAGCTCTGTAAGAATAGGTAATCTCTTTTGGTCTGATAAAATTCTACAGGCAAAATATTTTGATCTTTATGACTCTTTTTGACTAACCTTAATTGCACTTAATTTCTCTCCTGCCCCCACCTTTCAAACAGGAGCAGCAGAGCATTTTTTATTTTCTCATGTAGTAAATAGGCAGAGCCTATTAGTGGCTGCCTTGCTTTGATTGTCACAGAGCTCCAAATTGCTGTTCTCTCCTATGGAGTTCTTGCTTGGATAGCAGCAGAACCTCCAGTTTAATGGCCCATAGTTAAAGTCTGATAGGAACAGCCACTTTCACAGCTGCAGAAGCTGTCTGTCATCTTTTCACGGCCTGGAAGTCATTTGATGCTGAGATCAGATTTTCGTGGGAATTTTTTTTTTCTCTTAGATTAAAGGCTGTGCATACATCAGTGGCACATATTGGGGCATGAGAGGGATTATTCACTTTTTCCACATGAAACATCTAATGGTGGTGTGGGGAAGATGGAGGGAGAAGAGCGAGTGACAAAGCAAGCCATTCGGTTGAATAAATGGAAGTTAGCCAGTTTAAAGGCACTGAGGGCATTTCTGTGGCCTTTGTAGAGCAGTGATGCACAGTGGCTGATTCAGAACAAGGTATAAGGCGAGGAAGAAAGGGAGTCTAGGAAGGATGTGAGGGGGATGTGATGAGATGCGTGTATGATAGCTTGCTTTAAAAAATCCCAACAAAACAAAAAAACCCCCAACATTCAGACAGATGTGAGGGAATCTTTTATAATAATTAAGCACATATTAGTGAAGGAAGTTGGGCAATGTTGAGGTCCCTTTTGTTAATTGAGTCTGAAGCCAGTACAGTAGTTTTAAGTGATGAGAAAGGACAGAAGATATGGTGAGGTACCTTTTGCTGACTGATTCAGCACAGCATGCCTGCCTTCCAGGGGTGTGCTTACAAGAATCTTCGTGTTTCTCTCTGCATAGTATAAAGGCTCATTGCTTTCTATAATAGGAAAGTGAAAGATAAAATGGCTTTTCTTGAGACTTGTTTTTTGTCTGAGTAACCCTCCCTTTCTAAAAGTGACTTTAAATCCGAAATATCAGTAACTGTGTGTTATTTTTTTTTTCTTTATTTCTAACAAATGTATTTGCCATGAAATATTTCCAGAATCTCCCCTCTACTAGAGTGTGATTTAGGAAAAAATAAAAGCAAACGTTTGCCTACCTAGCCACTCCATTTTTCATAATTGTGCCCCCCAAATTAGTTCATCATCAGTAGCATCTATAACTTAAACATACACAGGTCTCCAGTCTGCAGAAAAGCAAGAATGTTTCAGAACCAGGGAACAGTGAAATCTAATAGTGTTGCTTTTCTCTGCACTCACAAACAGTGGCTTTCTGTCTTGGAGGGCTAGAGAATGATCAACCTCACCTTGCTAATTGTTTGTAAAATTAGCAATAGCCATTGCTTCTGTCTCTGTAGCTGCATGTGTTTGAATGTGGTGCAAGTATCAATGTTCTAGGAGATGATGCCACACCCTTTAGCAAAAATCTTCTGTATGTATTTGTCTGTGGCATGACATATAGAGAACATCTCATATCTGTTTATAATTAACCCCAAAGGGAACTGTTCTGTCAGTCTTTGGGGAGATTCAAGTCAATGATGACTTAGATTGTTGTTAGAATTAATAATTTAAGACCTTTGCATTGTTGATTGCTTTGGGATTGAGGGTGGTGGGATGCAGTGTAAGTGTCCTGTTCATGATGTTTTATTCTTTAATCCATATTGCCCAAAATACAACATAGCAAGGCCACCTGAACTAAGTTCTGTTCAGTCTTGAGCCTTTTTGTGCTGTTCCTGAAATCATCTTAAAGTCTTAGTGGAAAATTTGGGTCAGCAATGCCTGTAGATGCAGAACTTAGACTACAAGAAGTTACTACATTTCATTTGCTACTCCAGATGTTTAAAGTACGTACACAGATTTGGAATAGTGAATAAGGAAGCATGAGTAGTTCAATACCATGTGACTTAATCTGATGATTAGCTTTAAATTTAAAACTGGCTCTTAAGCCAGCTTTGAAAGTAAAGTTATAGAAGGGTGTGACCTGATAGCTGTACCTGTGGTTACTTGTGCTTGCTTTTGTGTTCTGTGCAGGGGCAGGCACAGTGGTATTAGATGTCCTGAGGCAACATATGTATTAGCTTGAAGGTAAGCATGGCAGCACAAGCACTAGGCTCCTATAGAAAGTGAGGAGTGTGATGCTCCAGAAGAATTCCTCTAAGGATGATGAAAGTTTGTGGATGGGTCCATGTTAACAGAGAAAATGGCAACTCGTCGGCTAAAGGCACCTTTTGATTTTCTTTCTTTATGTGTCTGGACTGTAAGTATTCCCTTTTTTACCTCCAAGAAGCAGAGAGACAATGAGATCTGATGCAGCCTTCACAATGCATGTGTCTTCAGCTTGTGAACTACCTTGGAGCCTCAGCAGGATCTCGGACAGCACCTCTGGCACTCCTGCCTCCACCAACTGCACTTTCAGAGCATCTGTAGAGAGCACAGTAAAAGCACATTAAAAGCTTATTGGGTCTTCATGGAAGCATTTCAAACTAGGAAGCTAAATCCTTGAACTTCAGCCAGTCTTCTTTCAGGTGCAGTCACTGTTTTGGTTTTGTTTGTAACAGCTTTCTCGTGCCAAGGTGACACCGAGGCAGAACGAACAAAGCTTTCTGCCTTGGTCTTTCCCTTTTCTTGTATTGCCAGTCATGAGCTTTCATTTCTTTAAAATCTGTATGGAGTATCTAGATATTTTTAATAGATTCATGTCAGTGCTTGCTACACCACTGCTTAGTGTAGACATCTTCTATAGTATCTGGTGGTTCTCATTTTTTAAATTAAAAAACCCAATCTATCTTGCTGCTTCCCTGTTACACACAATGGAGAATAGAAGTTTGAATCTGCTGTCTTACGGATCTACCCAAATAGAGTGGAGTGCTACTGCCTCCCTCCTTTCCTTGTTGCCTCACCTGTTAAGCTTCAAAGTGTTGTTTGGGCCAGGATTTCACATGTTCGTGTGCTTTATTTCTACTGAAGGGGTTGCTGGTTCAATTAGTAGGATCCCATGGCAAACTTGGAACCCAGAGCTTAAACTAGTGCAATACCCCATCTCCCCTCATTCCACCCAAGCCAAAAGGAGCCTTACCATTTTCTGCAAGTGCTTGCAGGACCTCAAAGACAATTTCTAACCTTTCATGGTTCGCTGCTCTTCTCAGGTGTTTCACCAGTTGTTCAGCAACATTTGTCTTGCTTAGAGCTTCCTTAGCTGTATCTGTGTATGTGATAAAGTCAAGATTTTGAGTCTTTATTTGATTAAATATTAAAAGCCTATATCCCTATAATCTGAAGTGATTTGATACTGTTTTTCAAGACTTTTTCTATTCTGATAGATTCTTCTGTCCCCTTGGACAGCACTGAGACAGCAAAACTCTGTCCTTTCTCCCCCCAGCTTCTTTAACACTGTTTTTTTGTAATTCCTGTAGACCTTATGGGTGTCAAATTAATCCTGGCTTAATTTCACTGACTCTTAGAAGTCTATCTGTAGTATGATTATTTAATATAACAAATTGATACATGTCAGTTGGCTGTAGTAGTATATTTTTTGCATTGATTAGATGGTTCTAGTCTTGCTGGGATCCTAAACATCTACAAGATGTATGTTAGCAAAGCTTGTCACTGTTTAACATAGAACACATTTGAATGGGATATGGTGTTAAGATAGAGATAAAAAAGGACAGACCTCCCTAGAGGGTGATGTGACAGTGTGATACCATACCTGCTTCCCTGCCTCTCCCTCAAAATACAGGAAGCAGTAGATCAAATTGTAGTCAGACCATAAATAGGGAGTGGTAATAGTTTTCTAGTTGTTCTTTTTCTTCCATCACTACTTAGAACTTATGCAAAGTAGGGCAGATATATTTTAGATCAGGGGAGATGCTTTTGCTTTGAAAATTGGGTAAATTTTCAGAAGCTGTTTTGTTAAGGTATATGAACTTAATTATTAAATAAAAATAAAATGTTAATAAACAAGCTTTTAATGTACTGTAACTGAAGTAGTTGAAACTGTCAATTTCCCATATGAACTTATGCCATCTCTACTTTTCTTTTGGGGTCAAAAGATGTCTGTTAAATCTCAATTGTTTTAATGTAGTATCAGTAATTGCTGGTACTCCATGAAAGAGGAGTTACTTCTCCAATACAGATACTGTGGCCAGTCTTTGGTTAGGTCTATCAGCAGTGTTTAAAAAACAAAACTCAAAACAAACACCACTCCCCACCCCAAAAAAAGCCAAACAAACAGAGGAAAACCCAAAACAAATAAAGCCCACAGTCCTGTGGGCATGGAAAGGCAGTGACAGTTTGAAAATATTTTATTCCAAGATGCAAATACATTTACTTACCAAGGTCTGCAAGATTGTATAAGGCCAGTAGAGCAACATGGACAAGTGGTTCACTCTCTTCATAGTCAGTTAATATTCGGACTAGTGATGGGATTACTCCAACCTTCACCAGCTCTTCCTGAAGGTCACCTGATAAGGGAAGTGGTAGAAGTTAAAGGTGATTGGATTAGGGACTAATTAAATCAGTGAAAAGGGTTCCATTGAGATGCTTAGAGGCAAGGTAGTCTGTTTTTTTCTCACAGTTAGAATTTGTAAAGCTTTTGTGCTGTGGGTTCAGGCTAATGTCTGTGTGGAAGAAATGCAAGTTTGGGACAGATTTTTGCTAAACCTCCTGGTGCTACTTTGACTTGAGGAATTACACTTCTCTAAAAATATATGAGGGCAATTGCCTGTGCATTTCTACTACTGGTTCAGCTTCCCAAGCAAGTTCTGATGAATGGTATCTTGGGTTGTATCTGAAAATTGAGTGAGGAACAGACAGTTGGCTTTTTTATCTTTGGGGAATGGGAATCTCCACCTTATTATACTGTGGCTTCTTTTGTTCTGAAGGGCTGGGAGATGAAAGGTACTGGAAATACGTGATAAAAAATAGTGACTCATAAAGCAAATGTCCATATACTTGCTTTTTTCATGTTAGAATAATGATTAAAAAAATTTCATTAAATGCTTTATCAATACCTGGGATATTATAAGATACCACTAAAAGACAGACTGCTTTAAAGTTAATCTAGGGAAATCATGCTCTTCCTCATTTTGGGAGCCTTGGAAGGCTCCCAATACCTTGAATTCAAGGTATCTTGGGAATTTTTATGGGCTGAGTAAGGTTTTTAAGCAGGTGTAAATTTTTTACTTACTTTGCTACCTTCTCTTAAATCATAAACTTAATTTGGTCCTGCTTCTAGCGTACTGACTACGCTTGTCTCCATCCACATGCACAGTTGCTGAGGAAAACACTGATAACTGCTTTCTTTCTTTTTGTAGCTTGCCATGTAATGAATGAAAGCTTAATATCTAAAATGGTTTTGAGAATGCCAAGAACTATAAAATACAAAGTTGGACAGTGATGGTTACTTAACAGTACAATGGCACTGTTTTGCAGCAGTGTCTTGCTGAGAGCTGGACTGTAACTTGTATGGCAGACCCCAGAAAGTGTCTGGGTGCCACTGTGGCCTATACAATTGTAATTCAGGCAAAGAATTGGTGAAGTTAATTTTTCTTTCCTTTGATGTATTTATTGCTGTGCTAACGATATAATTTATTAAATCATGTATCTTATAGTCACAGTCATCTTGGCAAATCTGTGCAGGGCCTGTGCTGTGCCAGAAGGGAAGCAGATGTGCAGTATGGCCATATGCTGTAGCAGTGCTGATGTACAGTAGTTGCATGAGCCTTGCATGTAATTTATAGGGGGAAGGTTTTTTAAATTATTATGTGGCATTCCATGGCAAATACATGTAACTTGCAGGGAGCTAGTGAAATCTATACCAGGTACCTATCATGTTTGGATTTCATAAGAATGGTGCAGAGTGGCAAATCATAGCTTTTTAAGTAAAGCTGTGCAGATCCATGCAAGAGGGATAGGAGAAGGTAGGTTGAAGGAAGAGGGTAATGGATAGAAGATACTGGGTGAAAATTTCCATATTACTTTCAGTATGCAATAAATATTTTTGATAAGTCTGGGAGTTAAAGGTAAAAGAAAAATCTTAAACTGTTTGGGCAAGTAAATGAAAATGGTTTAATTTGTGAGACCAGCAGGCAAGCTAGTGTCCAGGCAATCTGGAGCACAAAGATCTCCTACAGGCAAGCAGTGGTCCTCAGAGAAGACTATTCCTTGCATATCTCAGTATTTTAAAGTTTTTTAGAGCCTGGTTTTTTTTCTAACACACTTTTTAAAATCCTTTGCTTTGTTACTTTGCTTTATTACTGCCAAAGAAGACCAAGCCATTCAGGATTTGGGCCCAAGGCAGATATGCAGAATTGTTTAAGATGTGTATGAGGCTCTGCTCCTCTTGTAATTACAGAGCAGTTCTGACAAAGATGTCCCACCTTGAAGTCAAAAATACAGCAGGGAAACCCAAAGTGCAGGAGTTGCTTGGGGTGCATTCAGCCTGGTACCTGTAAGCTGTGTGAATTGTATATCTAACTGGAGGCTTAAGTACATTATGTGCTCATGTCTCATAAAATTATTATGAGTTACAGGTTAAAATGCCTTTTAAAATAATGCCTTAGAGGTAGGGAAAATGTGATTCTCTTATGTGGATACTTACGATTGTCATAACAGATACGGCCAATAGCCCTCCCAGTGTGAAGCAACATTTCTTGGTCTCTGCTCTCCAGCAGAGGTATCAATATTGGCACCAAATCTGCTTCAATACATGGTTTCTTCATTTCCTCTGTAGGTAAAGGAGAGGTTTTTGCCATGTAGGAGTAAAACAGTTGCAATGCCAGTAGCTGGTAGCCATGAAACAAAATTCAAGAGTGGAAACATACAGCTAATGTGCTGTAATATGCCTTGTAGTTACACTTTAGCACAACTTACCATTTTTGGCTATCTCTGAAAGCACGTGGGCTGCTTTCACTGCACATCGTGGATTGCCCTTCAGGATTTTTGCCAAAGTTAGAAAGATCCCACTCTCTCTGAGTAGGCAGAAGGATCTCTGCTCTGTAATGATAAGTGTTAGCAATACCTGCCATAGGTTTGCAGCTGTTTTATTTACATGTTGCTTTGTTTCCTGGAGTTCTGAGTGGTTATCTGTGGGATCCAAGGTTCTGATTTAGCAAGGTACTTAAAGGCTGTCTCAGTCTAAATATATGGGAACCTTCATCTGTTTGAATTGCAGCAAGCGTGGTTCCAGCTGATTACTCTGCTTCATGCTGAATTGAAGCACAGGTGGCAAAGCAAAGAGGAAAACAGTTTCATCTTCTCTGACTATAAAAGGAAGCTTGCGTAAGGCACGGGAAGTCAGGGATTAAGATACTATTCCTGAGGTATGGCCTAGCAATTAATTTTGCAGGTAGGAACAGCATCTTTTATTAGAGTAGCAATTAGAATAGTCAATTCCCTTAGCCTTTTTTCATTAAAAATACGGCTAGCTGACCTTAATGTAGTTAGTCACCATCTGCCAGGAGATTCAAATAAATGCGGGTTTATGTCTTTTTAGGAGAATGTGAAGAGACTTTAAGGACTTTTGTATAAGGAGACTAGGAAGTACTTTTTAAAATACCTGACAGGGTCACCTGAAGTTAATCCTAGGAGTCTATAGTAAATAGAAGGTTAAATCTGGAATTTCTCTGCAGCTTCAGGTGTTTTAGTGATCAGTAGCTTTATTTGGTCACAGATAGACTTGTGATTTTGTACAGAGAGAAAAGACAATAAAACAAACCAGCCTGAGGACAACTATACTTCCAAGAGCAACCCCTTCTTGCAATACAGGTCACCACAATAGACAAAACCTGCAATGAATGCTTTTGCATTATGCAAATGGTTAAATGTTAATCTGGAGTGATACTTAGCTATCTTCAGTAAGAGCCAGGAGAATCCCATTCAAACTTTCAAGGATCTGATCTTCAGCTTCTGTATCATCTCCACAAAGCCCAAGATATTCCAGGTGCTTACTCAGGGTTTCTAAACAGAATGGGATAGAAAACGGGGGTGAGCCAGTATGGAAAATATTTTGAGTTCTTTACAGTTGTTCTTTTCAGTCCCAATGGCTGATGAGAAGATCATTTCCTGAAGGGTTGAGTTCTAAATATGCTCATTGAATAACTCTTTTAATCCAAGAGCATGAGGTCAAAGGCTTGGTCCGCTTCTCAAACAGCACATAACTCTTGTACAGGCATAAACATGCAGAGATAAATTCTATCTGGAAAAAGAAATTAGCATGTAATAACTGTGGCAGAGTGTGAGGTGGGGAGGAGAGAGGAATAATGAGAGGACCAACATCGAGCCTGTCAGTTCTAAATACTTGTTTATCATAAAGATAGTACTTGCAGTTCAGCCAGCTGAGTGTCTGCTCTGATAGTGACCAGTGGCAGCACTGAAGAGTGCAAGACACAAACAGATGTGATAAAACACTTCTTTCTTTGTGTCTGGCAACCTGGGCCATGGATAAATACATAGTATTTACATCAATACATTTAATACATTTTAATCTACTTTTATGCAATAAATTTGTTTACCTATTCAAGTTAATTCATAATTTTTATCTCCACAGCACTGTGACATTAAATACCACAGTTTCACTGTTGTAAGAGGAAGATACTTCCCTTTGTTTTAAAATATCTACCAAAGAACTCAAAGGTAATGGTCTTACTACTCTACTACTCTTACTATAGTAAGAGAAAGGAAATAAACTTTACTATTTGCCTTTCCCATGCCTATCATGATCAGATGGATTTTTATTATATCCCTCCATTGTAATTCCTCTGCCAATTCACTTAACACTTAGAGAAACTTTTGTTCTTTTGTTGTTTGTTTTCCCTTTGGTGAGGAGCTAGATTTGAAGTGTTCTCAAGATTCAGGTGAACTGAAGTTTTGTTTTCTACTCTGTTACTCTTTTCTGCAGCTATTCCAATGACTCGTTATCTTCTGGGCAGAGGGAATTAACTTAAACCCCACCAGCATTCATAATTAGGCCATCCTTTCCTGTGTAGGTTGTCTTCTATTTACAGACACTGAACTTGATGTGCCTCTTTATCCCAAGTCGTACAGGATGATATGATTTTTCTGCAATTCTCTACAGTGGTATTTGAATACTCCAAATAATGAAAAAAAACCTCCTTACTTCTACTGTTTCTAGATTGTTTATGAATATATTGAATGACACAGGTTCTGGCAAAGGTAACCTCTAATAATTTTGGCTTTCTTTAGTGAGAGCAGTCTTTATTCCGCTCTTTAGACTTCATCAGATAACCTTCTCTCATATCCCAAGATAACTTAGATAAACCCTATTGAAAGGTTTGTAGAAATCGAAATGCATTATTAGCAGTATCTCCTTTATTGATCTTCTTGCCAGGTCTTAAAAAATATCTTTAAAGAGAGACAGGTTGAGCTTTATTTGCCTCCACAAAAGTCACATAGACTTTCCTTTTTTTATAGTGTCTATGTTTAGTAATTCTGTGCTTTACTATAATGCTATAATTTACCTATGCAGAGATCAGATTTCTGTACTTTAATTTCCTGCATTCTTTGCAACTGTTTTTGTAAACTCATTCCACTCTTACTGCTTTCCACTCTGTCAGTTCTGTTGTTGATCTAAATGGTATTCTACATGTCACAGTTACTGATTCAACAGTTCATTTTTTATCCCTTGTGAACTCAGGAGTATAACATCCATTTCTGACAGTGGGTTATCCCTTATTTTATTGATTTGTTCTAAATCTTCTGCCCTTTCAATATGAAGATTCCTCCATCTACTTCCTGAAGACAAAAAGACCTAAAGTGGTTGTAAGAAATAATGCTGGAAAATTGATGTCTGAAGTAGTTAACATAGGGTGTTACCAAAACTGTAGCAAAGTAGCATTTCTACTTTACAAACTGCTTAATTGAAAACAATGAGTCATGAGTCTTGCCCTAGAAGTCCTTTGCTGAGGATTAATAATTGTTCATTCATTTTTGTTGTTTGATGAATTCACTAATTTCTCTTTCCTTAATGTGTCCATTAGTTATTGCGAGTTTTTTTTAAATTAAAATGCATGAATTTAGTGCATACAGGAATTTACTTCAGAGGCATGAGAAGTGTTTTGAAGAAAGGATGAAGTAAAGGGAGTGGAAGTAGAGCACAGCTAAGGGCTGTTACTGCCCCTTGAGAAGAAAATTTATTTGATTTAAAAAATTAAAAGCAGTTTTTTAAGAGCAATGACAGTTTTGGTTTTGTGCTTTAAACAAAATGCCATCTTTAGACAAATGGCTGGGTTCATCAGCTCCAGTTCTTCTGTCAAAATGTACTGAATAAATGATTTTATATGAATGAAGTACAGTAGAATGCAGGTTTTTCACAAAAAACGAACAAGCAAAAACAAAACCAAACCCTCAAACAAACAAACAAAAAAACCCCAGACCCCCGACCTGAACAACCTGACAGTTGAATCAGCTTTGATCTTAAACTAGATCTCAGGGAGTGGGCAGAAGGCGGCTGTTAGCATTTGACTGTAGTATTCTCTAATTAGAGTAATAGTGATATTTACAATTACATTTCTGTTATAATTAGGATCTATAAAAAGATGAAAAGACAACTGGATCTCTTAAGTTGGAGGAGATTGTTTTACAAATAGCAGGGAACAGTCTATACTGGTTGCTCATTGGGTTGGTATTGTGATAACTAGAAATCCAGAGGCTTTGTTATTTCTCCAGTGAATAGATCAGTAAAATAACACCATATGCATGATGACAGACTAAATCCTTGTAAAATATCCCTCTAGTTATGATCTGTAGTGTTTTGAAATGAGTAGTATGAGCATCAAAAATTGACCAAGTAGCTGGCTGAAGAACTACTTTTATAAAAGTCTTGCAGAAATTATAGTCTAGCATTTAACTATAACAGTGTTAAAATACTGAAGCCTTTTCTCAGATCCTCAGAGTTTTATCATGGTTGTTATTTATAAAAACTTGATTAATTTCATCAACATGGGACTGATTTCCCAACAGTCCCTGTGTTTAAATCCATGCTTCTGGAGAGGAATTGAAGCAGACACTATAAGACACAGCTATTTCTGTGGAGAGGCAGTAGCACACTTAGAGATTGTGACTAAAATTGACCAGAAAAGGCTATTTCTGCTTCATGGAAAATTCTGCGTTGTTGACATTTTGTTTCATCCCATGCTGGAACAGAATGTTGATGGGGTGGAACTTCAGGCAAAACAGAACAATTTGTTTCAGCTTTTTTTTTTTTTTTTTTTTTTTTTTTTTTTTTTTTTTTTTTT